CAAAAACTTTTTTCTCGACAGGACCGAGTAAGTGTGGCTGGTTTCGACGTGCCCGACTCGCCTGACTCGAGCTACACTAGTGCCTCCTACCCAGGGAATGAAGACGAGGGGCGGGACCCACCGGCCTTGCCACCTCACCTTCAGCACACCCTATTGAACCGCCAGGTGGATCCTGACTGGGGGGCTGCGGCCCCCCAGAACGTGACAGTTAATCACCTCTACATAGAAAACAGGGAGGCGCCTAGGTCGGTTGTTGGCCTAGGGGTAACTCACCGTTTTCGGTCGAAATACGTGACGGTTGTGCTCTACAAGCCCGTTCGAAATACGTGAAGCGGGATTTGAATTCGTTGTTATTGTTGTTATTTATTGTTATTATTATTATTATTATTGACTTCTTTGTTATTTTTTTTTTCTTGTAGTTGTGAATGAAACCACATAAGTTGGTAGGAATATTAAGGCCGAATGGGGGTGGGGAATTGTTTGAGGGGGTGGAAGGATGAACTACATTTCTTTGAGTTGTTGGTAAAGGGAAAAGGGTATGCTTGCTTCATTGGCTGATTGTTTGAGATTAGAGATGTTGGTAGCTATTGATTTGCGTGAAAATAATTAAGTTGCCAACTGAATTTGGAGTTTGTGTTTCTGGGCTATATATGATTTAAAGCTCGGAAAGTTGTCAACGGAATCTGTATCTGTCCGGAGATTGAAATTTATTACTTTTTGAAGAAGATTTCGAGTAAAATTTTATGGCTTAAAATTTTTAAACTTAAGAAAATCTACGGAAATCTTATGTCTGGACATCTTATATCTTGAGATGGAATTTAGAGTATAATTTCATATAGTTTTTAATTTCTAAATTTCATGAAGTCTTACAAAATTCAAACGAGTTAATAAATAATTTTAATACCTTAGAAGTTAGAACTTACAAAAACTATGAAATCTCAAATGAGAATTTTAAAACGTTTTATAAAGTACTAAATTAAATACTTATTCTTAAAATAAAAAAATAAATTATTTAAAAATCCCATATGTCTGAAAACTCATGGTCTTTTTTAACCATTGAGATGGTTTGGCTGATCACAAATCCATCCACTTTGGAGATCAAAACTAAATCAGATTCTCCCCTCGTATCCAAAAAAAATCCTTTCACTCCAAATGCAGCCATGGGTATATAATATTCTGATCCTCCAAACCAGTGAATCAACAACATAGTACAACAAAACAGAAAAAAACATTCATAATATCGAAAAGCCAGCAGAAGATATTGATAAGCAAATGTCATTCCATTCCACAAACGCAGTAGTATTATATAAAGTTAACTCGCGATGATATAACATCAACCGTATCCTAACAAAACAAACTTCAGCACACATAATTTAAAAGTAAAGACTCGAGAGGAGTTTCTGCCGGACAGCAAACACAACCCAAAGGACTAACCATAGAGATCGTCCACGTCAGCCCCACCAGCAGCAGCCGCAAATGGGTCTGATCCCCCGCTTGCCGGCGCTGACTCAGCAAACCAAAATTCGGTCCCAAACCCACGCGACTGCTGCAAGGTCTGGCCAAAGGCCTGATACTTGCGAACATCAGCATCGCTAACACTCCTTCGCGCAAACTTCATCGACTCCTCGAAATGCGCGGGCTTAATCTCTGCCACCTCATCATCAGCATCCTCGTCCATCGAGTCCGGGTTTTCACTTCTCCTCTTCTCCCTTTCCAAATCCTGATGCAAAGTCACAGCCAAAAGTAAGGTTTTTGTTCAGGCAATTGAAAGAAGACAAAAATTTTATCAAATCAATTAATTAATAATTACCTTCTCGATGTTCTCTCTTATGGCGTACTTGCACGCACGCTGGCAAATCTCGGTGATGTCAGCGCCGCTGAATCCCTGTGTGTACTTAGCAAGTGCCCTCAAGTCAACATCTTTCGAGAGTGGGGACTTGCGAAGACAGGCTTTGAAGATCTGGTGACGTGATTCCTCGTCAGGGAGAGGAATATAAATCAGCTGGTCGAGACGGCCCGGACGAAGGAGGGCCGGGTCAATAATATCGGGCCTGTTAGTGGCCCCAATTATAAAAACAGTCTTTTTCGCGTTCATCCCATCCATTTCAGTAAGAAGCTGGTTCAGAACTCGATCAGCAGCACCACCAGCATCACCAACACTGCTTCCTCTCTGAGTAGCAATAGAGTCGAGCTCGTCAAAGAAGAGAACACAAGGAGCAGATTGACGAGCCTTGTCGAATATTTCGCGCACATTGGCTTCGCTCTCCCCAAACCACATGGTCAGCAGTTCGGGTCCTTTCACGCTGATGAAGTTGGCTTGGCATTCGTTCGCGATTGCTTTGGCGAGAAGAGTTTTACCACATCCAGGAGGGCCGTAAAAAAGAACACCCTTCGAAGGTGACATACCGAATTTCTCAAACTTCTCTGGGTGCTCCACAGGATATTGCACAGTCTGCAATTCATAATTAAGAGGTTAGCAAGCCATATCTTAAACACGTGTTCATCAAACTGATAAATTAAAGTTGATTCTATTTTGTTTATATTATTATTACCTCCTGAAGCTCCCTCTTGACATTCTCGAGTCCTCCGATATCCGCCCACGAGACGTTGGGCACCTCGACAACCTGCTCATCATTTCAGATTACACGATTAAAAACCAAAATATCATAACACGATGTAGAGATAGATAAATTATGCTGATACAGATATAAGATAGGCTGTAAACATCAGCAAGAGTTTCACTTACTGTCTCGCGCAAAGCAGAAGGATTGCTTGTCCCAAGAGCTGTGTGGAAGTGCTCGTTAGTAACGGCCATCGAGTTCAGTATCTCAGCATCAATTGTGTCGTCTTCCAAATCAATTACGTCCATTTTCTCCCTGATGCACTGTAGAGCGGCTTCGGTACACAGAGCTGCAAGATCAGCACCAACATAGCCATGTGTGTCTTTCGATATTCTTTCCAAATCAACCTGGAAAATAATATATCTTGGTTAACAATCTCATCACAATAATGAGTTGAAAAAAATTCAAGGTAACGAGTGTTGGCCTTCTTACATCTTCAGAAAGTTTCATGTTCTTGGTATGAATCCTAAGAACCTCAAGGCGCCCGACTTCATCAGGAACACCAATATCGATTTCACGATCAAACCTGCCAAATCTTCTAAGAGCGGGATCAATGCTGTTTGGCCGATTAGTAGCACCCATAACAATGACATGGGCACGGGATTTCAAACCGTCCATCAGAGTCAAAAGTTGAGAAACGATCCTCCGTTCTACTTCACCATGTGTCTTCTCTCTCTTCGGCGCAATCGAGTCGATTTCATCAATAAAGATGATGGAAGGGGCATTCTTCTCAGCCTCCTCAAATGCCTTCCTCAGGTTGCTCTCACTCTCTCCAGCCAATTTGGACATGATCTCCGGTCCATTAATCAAGAAGAAGAAAGCACCAGTCTCATTAGCAACAGCCCTAGCAATCAATGTCTTTCCTGAACCCGGGGGCCCGTAAAGTAAGATTCCTTTGGGAGGCTTCACACCAATAGATTTGAAGAGCTGCGGATGCCTTAGCGGCAGCTCCACCAATTCACGAATCTGAGCCATCTGCTTTCTAACGCCACCGACATCATCATAGCCGACCTCATCCAGCCTGTCCTCGTCCTCTCTCCTAACAGGTTCGCCTTCACAGAAGATCTCTGTATCTGGGGCCACAACACAGTACTCCCCAGGGTCAGTCTCGACAACTTTGAATTCCACACTTCTCATTCCACCTCTCACAAGAAAATGGTCTCCTTTCCTCACAGGGCGGTAGGCCTCCACAAAGTATGCTGCACGTAATTCAACAGTTAGATTAAAGATTTATTTTGTTCAACTAAAATTAAATAGACGAGATGCAAAGATGTGACTTACGTTTGAGATACGCATCAAAGAGATCTCCAGTGAGACCTTCAATTGTATCATCTAAGGGAAGTATGTGGACACGCTTTCCATATTTAACATCTGGGCACTGGTGCACAGACACAACATCTGCCAGACGGACCCTCAGATTTGCCCGGACAACTTTGGTCATCCTAATCTTTGGCTCTTCACATGTCTCATCAGCAAGCGCAATGCAGACTGTGTCCTTTCTCTTCTTCCCCTGGAAACAAGAAATAACAGATGCTCAGGATGTTAGTTCAGCATAATATATCAAAGACACATTAAAACGTCAATATGAGTGCATATGAAGTACATAAAAATGAAGTAATGCTTTGCCTAGTTCAGTAAATTATAGATTGTACACTCATATGATGTAGAGTAGTTATGTAAAGCATAAATATATATGATATACATGCACAAAACAAAGGCAATCACATCAAGACAAAAACTGGGTGTAAACAGCTCCAACACGTTCAGTCTCAGGGAAATTACAATGTAGCAAGAAACGCAAGTACAGCTTTCTGCCCTTCTACAGATATGCTTGTGTTATGTAACTCTGACTACAACGCTATGAAATCAACTACTGAAATTCTTTGTCCTAAGTACACCATTTCCACAACTTACTACAACCCAAATCAATAGAAGTTGCTGGACACGACATGTACAACTTTAAATTAACTATAATTCAACTAAAAATGTCATCTTCACCTCTGCCCCAACCTAACCAAACATAGTTATTATGGAAATATTCAATTTTGACTCAAAACCTCATCATCCATTCAGTATTTTACTTGGATAAAAGTAACAAAATTAGCAACATACTCCCCTCCAAGATCTTCTTACACACTACATATCGATTGGAATTAAAATCAGTAAGCATATTCGATCAAAGATTTCAGCTTCAATCAACTACGATAGACGAAACCCTAATTCTTCCCCCGTTCAAAAGAAAAAGGATAACAACCGCTGAAGAAACAAAAAAGGTCCTAACCTTAATCAAAATAGTGTCTCCTCGGAAAATCTGGAGCTTCTCCATGGTGCTCGGGTGGAGAACAACGACGGAGTGGTCATCGTTGACCGCCTCATCAACAATCAGCCGATTGGCCGCCTTCTTCCTCTCCAAAATCGCGGTCGAGAAGTCCTTCTTCCCACCTTTCCTGCTCAGAACAAGATAAAACCTCAGATTTCCAGCGCCGATTACTTCAATCAAACAACAATATAAAAAACAGAAGTACAGCGAAAAAGGCTACACAAAAGAAACACAGAATTGAAATCTATCGAGAGGGAGACGATAAGGATAAACTCACGAATCGGACGACTCAGCTGGGTGACTCATATCTCCGGCGATCTGAGTGAATCGGAGGTTCGAGAATTCAGATATGGGATTGCCTTCGGGACAAGAAAAGGGAAACTGTGAGTTGAAGCGATAGATGTAGATGATTCTGTTTACAGGCTATGCGTACGATATATATAGGCGTTGGTATATCGAGCTTTCCTTTGACCCATTGGAGTAGAATTACTTGTTTTTTCCTTCAGATTTACTATTTATCGAACTTTCCTTTTACCCATAGGAGTAGAATTATTTGTTTAATCCTAATTGGATTTTTGTACTTGGAAATTCTAGAATAATCTATTTGGAGAGGCACATTTCTCGAGTCGGCTACAACAATTTATTATTGCCACTACACGTTTTCATACTTTCGAAATGATATCATATACTTCCAAACATAATATTGTAGCGGGTTATATATAAATAAGTATATAATCAACAATTTATTTTACTCGGGAAGTGTTTTATTTGAATTCGAATAATTTATAAACACAATTTGACTTGTAAAAATTTCAACATTAATTCGTTTGTAAAAACAACTATTCTAGTTTGTTTATTACGTGTTTTAATATAATTCTGGGATATATAATCGAAATATAAAGTTATTGATGTATTCAATATGTAAAGTACCATAAATGACATAGAATAATTGATATTATCTTTAATAAAATTATTCAATATGATCACATAACATTACAATGAAAAACTAAAGGTTAGAAAATCATATGAAACTGCAATCAATGAAAAGTATAGAACAACTAAAATAATGTCCAAGGATATACAATTTCGATAACATATTTGCATAATATTTAATCCTTTATTTTATAATTATAATAAGTGTATGATATCAATCGTGCAATTAGTGTATAAGTGTGTTTAAGCAAATCGTGATGATGTGTCGGGACCTTGGTCTAGGTTGCACCGATTGAGAAAAAATTTCGATCGTCGTGCAGTAGAAGAATACCTACAAAACAAAGAACCGGGAGTAATTCCCGGCGTGAGCACTCCGACGTCAGCCAAGAAGATGGAGATAGAATGTATGTATTGTATGTAAATGTATATATATCAGCGTGTTTAAAATTGTACCTCAACCCCTTTTATAGGGGGAATACCTTGGTGTTGCTCGAGCTGCCTTGGTCAGTCTGTCTGGAACTGCCCAGTGGCCCGAACCTTGATCCTTATTTGCTTAGTCTTCAACCTTATCTTGATATCATTTTTATCACCACTAGATTCCACTTTTATCTTGATTAGGTCTCCATCCACCCGAGTTCCCTAATGCTCACAGGTCCCTCGATACCAAGTATTAATAGGTCGTAGTTCTTCAAGTCGTCTTGCCTTAACGAGTACTGATGGATCAAGTCTCGAGGCCAGGTATTTCCTTCTGTCCAGTCTTATCAGTTAGGTCGTCAGGTTGGATGTTTGTAGGTCTTAGTAGTTTAGGTCGCTCCATCGAGTCATAGCGGACTTCCATAGGTCTAGATCGAGTAGATTGTCCACTGTAGTATCGATGTTAGTCTCAACTTATCTATTCATCACACAGGCCGTCCGTCGACTTGTTTAGGGTTTGATTGTTTATGAAACTAGTATTCGATCCTGTGCATTTGCACAGATGTAAATGAAGTATTATAAGTTATTTATATGCATATAATATTAAAATTATAAGTTAGATAATGATATTATATTTTAAACATAGGGTATTATAAGTTATATTTATGTATATAATATTAAAATTATAAGTTAAATAAAGAATTTATATTTTAAAATTTAATCATTGGTTAAAACTTAAAATAAATAGTACATAACGATTAGATTGTATATGAATCACTATATTGATTGCATAAAATAAAATAAATAATGTATTTTTTGAAATTTTAAGGGACTATGACTAATTAATTAGCTAAAAAATATTAAATTTATTATAACAATTGCTTATGCAATTATAAAGAATTTTACTATGCCATTAAAAAAAATTAATTTATTTAAAAACTAATCGCTTAAGCAGATAAAGAAATATTATATTGATTTTATAATAAATTACTCGAACAAAAAGTTTTTACAATATAGTTTCTTATGTTTATTTAACATTCACATATCATTTAGTGTAAAATATAATTATTAATTGTAATAATAACTATTATATGATACAATTTTCAGAGCTGGTGAAATTATTTTGTATTGTTGTTAGTGTGTTTGTCCATGTTGTACATGTGCTGCATTTTCTATTTTCACCATGATTAATTATTATAGTGATATCATAAAAAACAATAGATATTCCAAATAAACCTTTATAAAAAGTTCTTTTAAAAATTCATATTCTGAATACATGCTTATGTAATCATGAGTTTCTATAATAAATAATTCATAATTAAGTTAGCATAGTAATGATTATATAATAAATTAAAAAAGTAAACATTTTTAACTAATTAACCTAAATTGATATATTTAGATAAAATAGTGGTCATTAGTTTAGATTTTGTAACGGTCCAAAATTGATGTATTTTGTAAAAGTAACGGTTTTTGTATTTGAAAAGTTTGTATTATTTATTAGTTAAAATTTATTAGGTTTTATTTATGAGGTAAAATTAAATGAAAGGCTAGCAATTATATATATATAGATAATTTACTCACATTTATTTCATACTCAAAATCTAACGTAACTTTAACTCAATCCCACTATTTTTAATATTATTCATATAATTAAATAATACAAACTAATCATTCTTACACATCACATCAACTTTAATTCATTATTCATCCACTCATATAATTTTATCTACCTATCATTTTCAATCATTTATCTCCTACTTTTACATCAAATCAATTTTAATCATTTCATATAAATATTATTTTAATACATTCTTAAAATTTCACTAACAACTAATCATAATATTTTTTTAAAAAAAATTAACTATGGTTAACCGAAATAATTCATTTTGAACAAATTATTTCATAAACAATCAAACCCTTAGCCTTCGTGGGTGACCTGATTGGTCCTCAAGCTGATCGACCTATATTACTTAGTACAAGCGCCGCGTGAGGAAGAAGAGGAAATACAAGGCCTACACGCCGCTGAATCAGTTTAAGATTGGGGACCTTGTCCAGCTCGAAAAGGGTCGGCCCATCAGCAAAACCAAGACTTATTGGGCTGTCCTGGTGTAGTGCCCCGTTTGAATTATATATTTATTTGGATTATTAATTTTATTATGCATTTAATTGCATTTTAATTTTTTATGCTCGACAAGCTCTTCGGATTAATTAGGCGTTATTGTTTATTTAATCCGTCAAAAGAAATAAATTTATTTAGACATATCGGTTATTTAAATTATCGAATATTTGTTAGCTATCCGATTTTATTTGGTTTATTCAATTAGTAGCCGTCGAAGCCGTTTCAAATCCGATTACGGTTTCATCAATTTCTTTTTTTCTCGATCCTCATAATTTATTCGAGACCCATATTAGCCTCACTTTGTCGGCACTTATAGGCTCATTATTTTCAGCCCATACGAGCTTTATATTTCGGCCCAATTATAAGTGAGTTCGGCCCAATATTTTTCCTTCTCCTCTCTCAGCCGACAATACAGTGCAGAACCCCTTTTTTCTTCTTCAATTGATATCGCCGCAACCCTCAGAATCAGAAAACTCCTTTTCGTGCCTAATCGATCGGAACATCAGATTTCAGAGAAGAGATTTTCTCACGCCTCTCGATCAGAAACCATCGTCCCTTAAACTCGATCTCTCCATCGTCCAATTTCAGCCTCTCGTCGCGCCTCCCTTCGCCGCAGACAGACCACGATCGACCGTCGGTGACTGTCAGCAAGCAGCCGGCGACAACCGATCATCGGCTTCATGCGAGGAGGGCCATCCTTTGTTCGCCGAGCAAGCCCACCGTTGAGACTTGCCGAAGATCCCCGTTCACGACGTTCAGCGAACAGTACCCAGCCGTCTCCGACGAGCCTCCTCAGCCTTTGCCGTCACCAGCAGCCGTGGTTCGTCCACCCCGCGTCCTGCCGGAGAGGAGAGTCTTGCGGCCTGATTTCTCGCCGAGTAGTGGCGGCCCGCCACCATCTCAGCCCCTTGCCGTCGCTCCCTTTCCAGCCACCGCGTGCCCCTCATCCATCAGCCGCGTGCGATTTTCAGCAAGGACCGTGCAGTCCATGAGCTTTCACGCAGTTTGGGTTTCAGAGGCGAGCGCCATCGCCGGTTCGAGAATTCTTTGTCCGTGAGAAGAAGTTGAAACAGCCGCGGTCCTTCTTTCGACGAGTTTCATCGGCACTAGTAGCAGTCGGAGACCCCGAACAGCGACGTTTTGAGCCGTACAACACCATCATCTCTGTCGAGGGTCAAGCGGCAAGCCAGCGAGTTGCAGCGGCAGATTATCTTTTGTTCCTCCACCGAGAGCCCAGCAGCAGAGGATGTTTTTCCACGAGCAGCAGCCCCGTTCAAACTAGCGGCAGCCATTCGAGGCTTTTATCGAGCTCTGTCGAGAGCTTTATCGAGTTTTTCCGAGAGCCACATGTGAGAAGTAGCAGCAAACAGCCTTGACCGCAGAGGCCACCCGATTTCAGATTTTCATCCGTTCTCGTTTTATTCCCGAAGGAGGTATATGGCTTGACCTTCTTCAATTATTTTTGAGTTTAAATTGAAGGATTATGTAGGATTTGAGGTTCATGGCGATGAGAGGCATTATTATTTTTAATGCTTGTGATAAGAGATGTTGATTTTTGAGTTATTGAGTTGATGTTGAATTCTCGACTTAGGACGTGTATTAGCCTCTAAAAATTTATATTTTTCAAGATTATAAGGGTCGGGATATTTATTCCCAAGTTATTTAATGAGTCGGGATGCATATTGCTATGTTCGGAGCCTTGTCGGGTTTCGAAAGATATGAATTGAGTTGCTGCGTTTACTGAGGTTTAAAGCTTTAATAAGAAGCTTATAAACCTGGTATGTTGGTGTCTTAAGAGGCCTTGAGTCGTATTTCAAAAATCGGGTTAATCGCCTTAGCCAATGCTTTTTATTTTTTTCTCGCAATTTTGATGATTGAGAGGGCTATGTATGCTGCGATTTTTCTGAGTTATTTCATCCCCTAATGTGCTCATATACCTGGTAGGTTTGAGCTCTAAGAGTGCCTTTGAGTTATATTTGAAAATCGGGCATAAATTGCTTAAGTCGAGCCTTTGTCGAAATTTGAAAAATTTGATGTCCATGCTGCGATTTCGGAGGATTAGACATCTGATGTGGTGCTTAATTACCTGGTATATTGGTGATTTAGATGCCATGAGAAGTGCTAAAAAAGTCGAGATCAAAAGCCTTAGAATTATTTTTCGAAAACACATGTTCATTGCTTTGCTTGGGGCCCTTTATTTATTTTTATTTTTTTTTTCTTCCGAAAACCTGAGTTATGGGGCTGCTATTGCTGAGTACTTTTGACCTCTGGTATGTTGTGAAATGCTTTGAAAAGTTGAGGATTAATTGCCTCTTTGATCGCTTGAAAAATCGAGTTTAAATCGCTTTACCCCGAGCCCCATTTTATTTTCGAGAAGTTGATGTGTATATGCTGTGTTTTCTGGTTCCTTATACTGTTGATATGATGTGTAAATATCTGGTAATAAGGGGCTTTTATATGCCTTGAGTTGTGTTTAAAATTGGAGTTCAAAAGGCCTTATTAATTATTTTTTTTTATAATATGGAAATTTTGTCTAATTAAGCCGAGGAAAAAATTTAGACTTTAAAGGGTATTTCCGAGATCTTTATTTTTATAAGTCCGAGTCGAGAGTTCCAACATCTAAGCAATAGAAGAAAATATTTTATAAGTCGTGAACCTTAAGCTAGGAAATTCTTCAAATTGGTAAATTAGTTATCGAGTTAAGAGTTAGTAGTTTATCCGAGTATCGCTTATTTTTATGTAGATTCTGAGGAGTCGAGTCCTCGAGTGTCCACATAAGCGACGACTCTCAGTTTCAATTCAGAATTTTCCAGGTGGGTTTATTTAAATTGCTATGCGGTAAATTGTTTATGTCTTGTTGGGTTGGTATGATCAATGTATGCATGTGAACTATGTAGCCTACCGATGTGTGCTGTTTCGGCCGTCGGTACGGTTGTCCCCGTCGATGTAATGCGGTGCCCTTATGAGGCAATCTCCTTAAGTCCTAATGAAAGGCCGTGTCGTGGGTTGAGGCCACGACATGTACTCCCACCGTTCCAGTAATGAATTCCTTTTCTGTGGCTAATGAAAGATGTGTACACAAGAGTAATGTTATTATGTAAATAGGAGATGTGACAGGATTTATTGATTTATGTTCATGCTGCGACCATACCTATCTGTCATAAATATACTCTGTTTATTTGGATAGTGGTGAGCACTACGGATTCCATATTGTGCTCATCTCCACTTTTCTTCCTCAGGTCGAGCGGTGCAGGCGTGACGGCAAGAGGACGAGTGGGTCCTTTATTTATGTTATTTGCTTCCGCGTTGGTTCTATGAACATGTTGATTTGGTCGTATGAACTTGTTGCTTGAGTTTTTAAAGACATGTTGGTTTTCTTTCAACTTGTTAAACGTGTGGATTGGTTTTTGAACCCGATGAGTGGGTACGTTTCTTATTTGAGACTTGTTGGATATTCATGTTAATGTGCTTCTGAATTTGGTTATTCATGCTGCTGAATATCATGTTGAATGTTATGTATCGTTATGATGAAATCCATGAGAAAAACCGAGTAATGAATTCCCCTGAGTTTTAAATATGATTTGAAATATGATAATGCCCATGTGAAAGTTGATTTTGAAAAATGAGCTTCGAAAATATTATCTTGATTTTTCTAAAAGTCCGGAATTTTTTTAAAATTCAAGTGGGGAGTTACACCCGGCCCCACCGTGGACCAGGTCCAAGCTCAAAGAGGGAGCTCAGCCGGAGTCGCCCAAGGAGCTGGGGATTACCTTGGAGTCGGATAGCTGAAGAGGTTAAGAAAAAATGGGAGTGTTGAGTGTTGTTTTGGTTTATTTGTTGAACTCGTGTTTATCGTAACGATGCTTAGTTGTTTACTGTTAATTTATGTTTTATGTGGTTTTAAGGCTAAAATAATCAATTGATGTTTCTGGGATTATTAGTTTTTGTTAATTGCATTTGTGTAGTTGGCTTTCTCTATGCTTGCAGAAAAATCGGTCAAATTTTAATTAAGTCCACTAAGTTGGCACTTTTCCGAAATTAGTCCATCATAGAAAAAGTCCACTATGTTGCCAATTTAATCAAGATTCATACATTTTTCATGACGGATTGATAAGCGGCTGACTTGGACGGACTATTTGCTTACGTGGGAGGATTCGATTGTGATGTGGGAGGTTAGTTTCGGTGGATTAGTAAATAATATCAATTTTTTTTAAAATAATTTCAGTTTTTCCCATGCAGGAGAACGAAGTCAGTCTCGACCATAGGGAGAGGAGAGGTGAGACGCGACACTATAAATTGAGAGAAATGAAAAATGACGATTACGATTCATCTCATCGACCCAGTTTCAGAATTTCACTCTTCAAAAAAAAAACCCTAACGTAATGTATTTTTTTTCATTATTTTTTATTATTTTTCAATTACAAAGTAATCTTCTAGCTTGAAAAATAAAAGTTTATTGTGGGCCGACCGTGCTGTGCACGAAGATAGAATGCTAGTTACTTATATAAAAATTTGTGTTAGATGGACAAGAACACTGGATACTCCTTTGGAGGGAATGAATCCAACAAAAATTCTATGAAGCCATCAGATGGTTTTCTTATAGAGCCATCCACCACTTAATGTATTGATACATGTCCAAAGTGTATTTATTGCAGGACACGTGTCAATACACTATTGGTGAATAAGTGCGGATGACTCCATAAGCCGAGCCATCTGATGGCTCCATAGCAAAACTGATGAATCCAAATCAAGATTCAAGCATCTGCACTGTAACCAAACATGCTTTCCAAACCACACATTCAATAGAACTAAGAACTGAAAAAAATTAAGTTACATCACCACTCCACAAACCTGTATTTAACACAAGACCATACAAAGACCAAATTTACAACATCCATTCACAGAATTACACAACCACAACACCATCATCAACCTCTTTCTTCATCACGTTCCTCATTAATCATTTCTTGCACATCTTACCTCGCATTTCCTTAACAAACATGCCCATATTTTCCTCGGACGATCCACTGTCCGCTAAGGCCTTCTCGAGCACACGCTTCACTCTCCCGACCTCCCCAACTCTAACTCCAATCTCATTCATCAGTTTTCGAACATTCTCGGCAACTTCAAACCTATCCACCCTCCCTTCATCACACAAATTCATCCCGATCTCCCAATCGTCCACCACTAGCTTCCGGTTCGTGAACTGGTCGGTGTACAAAGGGAAGCAAAGCATCGGCACTCGAAACCAAACGCTCTCGAGCACCGAATTCCATCCGCAGTGCGTCAGAAAACCCCCCACCGCTTCATGCGCCAGCACTCGTCTCTGGCAGCACCACTCAACCACCAGCCCGCGGCGACCTTGTCGGGCTTCCTCCGGAAGCGGGCTTTCTTCGTCTGAGCCCACAATGCCAGGCCTCAAGGCCCACAAGAAGTCAACGTCGCTAAGGAGAAGGCCGTGGGCTATCTCCGTGAGGTCGTTCTTGGAAATGTGCGCGTAGCTTCCGAACGAGATGTAGAGGACCGAGCCAGGGGGACGGGAGTCGAGCCAGTGGGTGCAGTCGGACTCAGGCCAGAGGCTGGTGGATATGATATTGTCGGTGTCGTGAGAGAGAATTGGGCCGATGGCGAAGAAGGGAATTTTTTGGTTTAGGGTTGAGATTGTTTCGGGCTCGAGCTCTTGGATTGTGTTGCATAGGACGTAATCGGCTGTTCTTACATCATCGAATGCTCGGTTTATGATTTGGTGTGGGAGTGTTGACGTGTCGGTTTGTTTCAGGTAGGATGTTAGGTCCTTCGGTTTGATGGATTGGACTCCTGGTATGTAGTTGATCTCGTCCTCTCGCTTGTCTGATGGTCATCATACCATTCATGTTAGTACAAATTTCGGTTTGCATTAATCTTGATTGGAATAATTTTAATTTTAGTCCTTTTACTTGTCTAAAGTCCATTTTTGGTACACTAACTTACTCCTAATAAAAAATAATAAATTATGTTGCAACTTGTATCATTTTTAGGACATTACTCATTAGAAACGGTAAATTATGTTGCAATTTGTATCAATTTTAGGACATTAATTCCAAAAAATAATGAACCATTTTCAAGATATTGTCCCAACAGTGATACAAATTGCAACATAACGTATTATAAAGTACTATTATTGATGAGAGGAAAATTAATGTACCAAAAAAATACTTTAGACAAGTAAACAGACCAAAATTGAATTTTTACCAATCTTGATTTGTATTAGCTCATTTTTCTAATTCTCGATTTATGGAAATTTCGGTTATGCATTAATCTTGATTTGTATTAGTTCATTTTTCTAAACTTTCAATTTATGGTGGGAAATTAAAGGAGCATACTAACCAAGAGAATCAAAATGGCCATTTAACCTCAACAAGTCCATGTGGTAATACAAAGTGAAAACCAAAGCAGCCTCGGTCCAAAACGAGACGTACGAAAGCCCGTACCTCTTAGCTAACTTCCCGGGCCACACGAAATACGTGTCGGCAATCAAGCAAGTGACGGTCGGTTTCGAGTCCCTCACGAGCCTCTCGACGGCCTTCTCCACGTGGGCCGACAGCTCGTGCAAGAGGGCCGACTCAAATTGCTCCGAGTGCGGGGACCGGTCGAGCCCGACCGGAAGCCCGTCAGACACGGTGGCGTACCGGATGTCGAGCCCGGACGAGTGGCGGATTCCGGCAAAGATGTCGCCGGAGCGGGCGGAGGAGGCGGCGGCGGCGGCTATGATGCGGCGGTGGATGGATAGGGTGTTGATGAAGGTGATGGTGAAGCCTCTAGAAGCTAGGTGGATGGCCAGGTGTACGGACGGGTTGACGTGGCCTTGGAGAGGGTAGCTTACTAGTATTGCATGGGGTTTTTGGCCTTCATCGACCATTTTATTAATTTTGAGATAGTTATTATGTTTTTTTTTTAAAAATTTTATTTGGAGAAGAAAAGATTTGTAAGGAGAGTTGTGGTTTGATTAAGAGTTGATAGAAAATGGATATGGACGAGAAGCGGATATATATGTCGTGCATGGATTTGGTTCATGGATAGAGAGAAACTATGGTCAATCGTTTTAGTATTCAAAGTGTGTTACGTAATTAATGTTGGTCAAATTTTTGGAAGTAGTATTTTAATCATAAGGATGTATCAAAGCTAGTTACATTATTTATCCATTCGGGATTTTTTTTGAAAATTCTTTGGGAAGAATTGTGATGAATTTTATTTGGGTATTCGTTTAAACTTAAAATTTTAAGAAGTTTAAAAATCATAAATTAAAGTATTCAAGTTTAAATTTGTTTGGATTTTATTAGGCTTACCAAGATTTCACAAACTGAAATCTGTGGCGGATGCACATATGAACCAGCCTAGACAATTGTTTGGATTTTATTAGGCTTACCAAAATTTCACAAACTGAAACGTGTGGCGGATCCACATATGAACCAGCCTAGGCAATTGGTGTTAACTTCATATCATTACATGTGTTAATTGTAAACTTATATATAATATTTGTAAAAATATAAATACAAGTTCTAATTTTAAAATTTTAAATAATTCTTACATAATAACATTATTATTTTTATTTAAAATGATACACCTCAACTATCAAATTTGACTGCACTGTGTTACAATATTTTTAGTATTTATACTGTATAATAAGCTTGATAGATAAATTTATTGTTTTTCAGTCGTAGTTAATAAATATTTAATTTTTTATTGATAGAGAGTTGACTGATATAACTTTTTTAATTTATATATAAGATATTATTGCCAAACTATAGATCGTCAAAATATGATTAGTTTAATTTATAATAAATAAAAACTGATAACAAATAAAATGTTATTAAATTTAATAATTTTTACAATTTAAGTTAGCCAAGGGTTTAAATTTGAAAGTTCTAATAAACATGGATAAAAAAAAAAACTCTACATTTATATGTAGGAAGATAACCCATAAGGATTTCTTCATAAAATGATATAACCTAAAATGATGACAATTAGGCTTTTTTTTAAAAAAAAAAAATAATAAATTTTATTTCAAAATGAAGTTTACATATAACTTATACAAAAAATTATGAAAACGGGGTTGTATAATATTTTTTGTATATTTATTAATAATAATAAAAACGTGAAATCAAATAACCAGACCTCATTCTCCATTTCAGTTTTTAGCATCAATTCAAAGACATATTGAATAGGGAACCCATCAAGACCAGATTGATTCAACAATTTATTTAGTTATTAATAAAGTATTTTGTACAATATGGTTAAAAAAAATTCAACTATTTTTTGTCTTGACTCGTGAAAATTTCTAGATCTGCCGTTGACTGAAACTAACATTTGTGTGAATAGATAGACATCACCTTCATCAACACCCAATCCATCCACTGCCTCCTTTCCACACATATTATATAACATTTTAAATATATAGACATATAAATATGTATTTTTGGATAAGTTAAATTTTATGTATTATTTTTTATAAGTTAATATTAAAAATTGTACATTAACCCCATATCTGTTTTTAATTTGTGGATTTATATCACCACTAATAGGAGGTTTGGCGGTATCTATGATAGAATAGCTACGCTGGGCGCACACAATGAAGGTGTATATATCACAATTCACAAGCAAGTCCATAGACCCAACGGAATATGCCAAAGCAGCTTTCAGAATGCTTTATCGTCTCCATGTTGTTTTATTTGATTTGATTTAAGATATATATATACATTATATTGTTTTCTTCATTTTTTTCATGTTGTTTGTATTGAATTTGATTTAAGATACAAAGTGTGTACTATAGAGATGTCAATAAATTTTGCCATATGAGTTTAAAATTATACCAAATATTATTTATGTTAAAATTATCAAAGATGAATTATACCAAACATTATTTTTTTTTTTACTAAAAGTCAAATGTAGCTTTTAATCGAGCTACGTTTGACTTTTAGTCTTCTTAATGGAGTTATTTTATCTCATTTTTGTTTTGAGGGTGCTTGTACTCCTTAGGTCGACTGTGTAATTTATAATGGGGTTGATTCGAACTTTATGTTGGCTCTAATGGTGTCCATTGACACTTTGAATGTGCTGTTTTTAGTTTTTTTATTTTTAATATAATTATCGTTTGAAAAAAAATTATGATATGTAATAATGGATCGATCTTAGGAGATGAATCTATCATATTGGTTATTGATATTTTAGTTTTAATTGGTTAGTCAACCTTTGTAGAGCAGTAGTCTAATGTGTAGTTATTAATTTAATTTTTGAATTTTTATTTTAATTGATACAATTCAAATATGAAAATTGAATCAATATTAAAAAATATTGATCATCATAAATTGTTTTCCTCTTCTTCTTCTCTTTTTTTTCTTGTCTTACAAGAGCAATAAAAAATTGTGAATCACGAAAAATTTCAGAAACAATTGCTCATATTTTTCTTTTCTTTTTAAAAAAAAGAGCGAATTTTGTTAGTTTTTCGTGTAGAGCAATTAAACAAACTAGCCACTCAAGAATTTGGCTCCGCTAACTCATTAAGACTCAAATTCGAGTTGATTTGTTAAGGCTTGACCTTAACTTGACTTGCTTGATAAAAAGTAAATGAGTTGGCTCGTATCATAAGATAATCAAGCTCTTAATGATAACTTGAGCTGAGGGCGCGTTCAAATATGAGACGAAACCAGCTTTAATCGATTTATAACCGATGGAGTTATTTTGTTTTATATTTTTTAACTTAAAATCTAATTCAACTAAGCTCTCCAATGTTCGTAGTTGCACTTCATTTTCCCATTCATGATTCTCTATCCATTTTTTTCTCTCATTCACTAATTAATCATTTAATTTTCTTTTTTACTGTGAGTGCTCTTTTTATCTGTAAGAAATGAAAAGGAAAAGGAAGACAGGGCCTTTGTAGGGTATATTTGGTGATTTGGGGTGTGTGGCAATCTTTTTAAGTGTCTTTGAGATAGATGTTTGATGTTTGGTGTGAATGAGTGGTTTATTCCAAAAAAGAAAAACGTGTTTTTCAGTGATGAACTGATATGTGCTTAAGTGCAAAAACATATAGTTAATGTTTTAAGTGTTGAAATGACTAAACGAAGCCCAGCTGTGCAATTTGATGTGGTTCAGTTTGTGTTCGTTTATGTATTGTATGCTGTTCGGTTATTTTTTCTTTCACAAGTTTGGTTTTCAGTTATTTGCGGTTTGACGCAGATTTTGCATGGATCGAACCCAAATGCATAGAAAAACCGAAAAGTCGAGCTGACCATGTAATTCAGTTCGGTGATTTAAAGATAATTGTATATGTTTCAAAGGACCTGATTTATTTTGTTTCAGTAACATGAATTTTCAGATCATTTTAATATTGGAAACAGTAACATCCAATTCATGTGCTGTTAGATGCTGACTACTGGATTTGATTAGTTTTATTCTAACATTACTTGATATCTCAATCACTTTGACTAAAATTGCATTCTTTTGCTAGTAAACAATAGGGACCATAATTGTACTGGCAAGAACAATGACAACCCCCCTGAATTAGATCACTGCAAATAATTTTATATATTTGAACAATAAGGACCATTTTTCTGCTGCAAGCTAAGAAATAATTCATGGCCCTTTGACTGTCTTTGGAATTTGATTGTTGAATGACCTTAACTCTATTAGGATTTAATTACCAAAAAAGGAAGGAAAAATGGGAGTATGTACGAAATTTGTGGGATAAAATTGCACTGGTTATTGCAAAATTAAAAAAATACAGTACTTTTCCAGAGATTTTATTCCATATATACAAATCCAGTTCATTTTTCGACCATCTAGCGTTAAATAATTGAATGAAATGTTATAATTTAAAAAAAATGTTACAAAATAAATTACATACACAACAAGAATATGATATTTTTAATATAATGATATGACGAGTCGATTCGGCCACATTCAAAAAAAAAAAGAAAATGATTTTTTTTTCTTTTTCAAAATATGTGTTTTCCTATATTGGAAAATGATATGATGAGCTCATGTGCCAATTATTTGATGATCAACTTTTCTTGCACTTTTTCCCCATTCCACCTCATGCATATATAAATATTACCTATAATTTTGCAAACTTTGATGTGCCCAAGGTTATGGGGACCGATGACTTAGACCTATTGAGGTCAGAAGGGTAACTGATCTACAAATATATAAATATTACTATAATTTTTTTTTTATTTTTTATTTTTTTTTTAAATTCAAAAGGCTATATTAAACTGCTAGTCCTTACGAAACAGTAATATTATAAAATTTAATTTGTCAAACATTTAATTCACCCTCAAACCTCTCATTTGATTCAAAAGTGGTGATTTTTCAATTTTAATTCTTGTAGCTAGTGTATAAGAAGAAGCTTGTATAAGTTTCTTGAAGTATCTCTAGATCTCTAACCTTCAAGTTCTCGACAGCCATGCTTGTTGAGAAGTGACTATTCTTTTTTGAGTGGTCAATTAACAAAAAACCTTTGTCCCTACCATAAATGTAACATTTTGTGGTTTATCGAAAATTAACCACAAAAGCATTTTATATTTTTTTTTTTCGATCTCTCCAGAACTCTACAAATTTAATTTCATCAGAAGTACACATACCAACAAGAAATAATTTAGGAAATTAATTAGCTTACTCGATTTTGATAAGACTTTCTTGATCTTGTTTATAAATTGATTGTTCTCAAGTTTGAAGATTCTCACTTTACGCGACCGAGGTTAGGCATATACTATGGAGGGCAAATAAGTAAATAAGTTGTGTATTGCATGAACAATATCATTATTTTGGTATCTATTCCGATAGAAAGATACCTCGACATATATTACAATCGATAATCTTGAATTTTAAATTGTTTAGAATATTACAAGAAAATGTATCTATGTCAAAATAAAACTAACCTTACGAAATTACTGACCTCCGACCAGCGGTCGAGGGAATGGGTCCATAAGGGTCAAGCCTAACAGGCTAGCTTTCCACCACCAAAGGGTGGGACTAATTTTCCCAGGGAGAGTGCAAATACCCTACTCACACTCCCCACGATAGTCAGGATCGAACTCCTGACCTCTGACATCACCAAAGCTTTACCTCTCCACCATAAGCCAGTTGCCCTCACGTACTGGGGGCTTACTGACCTTTCGTCGGTGTGAGTAATTTAAAATATAACTGGATCTTTTTATAATTATGAAGGTCTTCGCGAACTCATGTCAAAATAAAATATAATAATAAAATAAATTATTTGTGTTACTCTTAAAAAATAAAAATGCGGGTTATGAGAAGTAATATTTGGGTTAAATTAGGCTTCTTGCGGCTTGTTGACCTCCGACTAATACAAGTCGGCCAGTTCCTAAGACTTTTTAAGACTATAGAAATTATGGTGTATTGATCAATTTAGATCTGTTAAGACTATTGAAAGTCTTGGGGTATTCAATTGAGATTTTAAAAAATCTTACAAAATCCGGAGGTTGTATTCAATTAGGATTTTAAAGTGGCATTTTAAGACTTTTTAAGATTGGAGACTTTTTAAGTTTTCAGGTTTTTAGAGGAATTATATGAAATCTTAAGTCTGTAGGTAGGATTTGAAGTGGAATTTCGTACAAGGTTTTTTTTGTTTAGAAATCCCACCAAATGTTAAAAAGTTTTAACAAATCCTAGTGTCAAATAAATTAAATACCTCAGGATTTTGTAAGACTTTTTAAAATTCCAATTGAATAATCTAGAATTTTTAAAAGTCTTAAAAAATCTTAACAAATCTAAATTGAATACATCAGAATTTCTAAACTCTTAAAAAGTCTTTAGAAATCCTAATTGACTACACCCCCTTTAGTTGAGACTATGGTTTATCAAGTCTTTTTAAAATTTGGTGAGATTTCTAAACAAAAATACCACTCCAAGTCCCACAACCACACATAAGATTTACATAATTCCTCCAAAATTTAAAAATTTTAAAATGTCTTAAATTTTAAAAAGTCTCAAAATGTCACTTAAAATTCTAATTAAATACATCCCATTTTGAGCGGTTTTATTCCCCAACTATTTGCTATAAATGTATCTCATAATAATATATAATACTACGTTCTACACGTTTAGCAGGAAATTGAAAGTCTTTCAATTATTATTCGATGAAGTTGNCATCTCGTACAACTAGTATATATGCCTACCTCTCAAAACCTAAAATTCATTGTATCAAACAAATAAAAAATTAAAAAAAAAAAACTTATACTTTGGTGTTATTGGCCAAGAAACAAAAAACCCTTCTATAAAATCAATAAAAAAGCCAAAAAAAGCATCGATCTAGAGAGAACAAGTATGGCAAAAACGAGAACAAAGGGAAACAAAAAGAATGGCGGCATTGTCAAACTCAAGGAAAAACTACAAAGGAGTCTAATCTCGGGCCTCAAACTATTTACGGACAATTGTGATCAAGAGATTAGAGTACCGGATGACGTGAAGGAAGGGCATTTTGCGGTGATTGCAGAGGACAACCATGAACTGAAACGATTCGTGGTGCCCCTCACCTTTCTCACCCACCCGTCTTTCTTGAGGCTACTGGAACAAGCCGCAGAAGAATATGGGTTCGACCGTGATGGTGCCCTCACGGTCCCTTGTAAGCCAGTCGAGCTCGAGCACATACTCTCCGAGAGGTGGGTCGAGGAAGCTGAGTTCGATGGTGATGATGATAATAGTAATAACAACAATAATAATAATAATAATAATAATAATAATAATAATAATAATAAGTGGAGCTTATGCAACAAAGCCAAGATGGTGAAGAGCCACTAGATAGTAATTTTTGCTTTTGATTCAATCGGTTTGTTTGATTTATGGAATACGAGATGATATTAATAATCGAAATCGATATACGTACGTATACGTATATGTCCATTGTTTGTTAACTTACATGGGATGGGTAATCTTCGTGACAATATAAGATTGGTACAAGGATCGGTATTTATAATTAACTCATGTTACGCGGGGTGAATATGAGATGGACTTGACATGATATTGGTAATGTAAGGATTTGTTGTCTTATTATTACTTTAGGAGATTGTGTCTTAATCTTGCTGTTTGATATAGATGCATGTTGATTATCAAATATTTCAAGTCGAATTCATGTTGTTTTAATTGGTAATAAAACGAGGTTAAGTGTGTCTATATCTAATGTGTTTATCATAGTTCAATATTTATCATAGAAGAATGATGAGTAATGTCTTAAAACTCCTTATGAAATGTGTACTTTAAGAAAACATATTTTAGTTATGACAGTGAAATTGTCCTGTAGGAACATGACTATGCAAATGCAACACATTAAAAATTTTTTGGATTCTACCAAAAGGGGTTGGTTCAAGTGGTAAGCAGCTTGATGTCGCTTAAGCAAGGTGTTCGAGTTCTTGTGAATGCAGAAAACCCTTGTTGGGAGACTCACCCACCACTGCCAGGTGTGCGACCCGGGTCGACCAACGGATTAGTCGGAGCATAGCTCTAAATACCGTGGCTGGCTACCAAAAAAAAAAAAAAAAAAATTCTTGGATTCTCAAATTCATAAACATAAGACCAACTACTTGTTTTGATGGATGTTGTGGACTACATTTTCAAAGCGCCCATGAAAACAATACTGTTTACTGATTGGTAAACTCTATTATATCAAATTGAAACTTAACTTACCTCGAACATAATTAACTTTTTAAACTTGTATCCGCAGTCACAAGATAAACATAGTCCACCAAATCTAAAAACAAGATAAGATAGTTGAACGAGAGTGATATAATTTCTCGCAATGCGTATACGTATGAATTTTAAATTGTAAATAGATGGGTTTGTTACGCTACAAAAAAATATCATATTTCAATGGAAAATCCACGATAATATATTCTTCCGTTGAAAATATTCTGATATAAAACTCCATTTTTCCAACAGTTTATTACCTTAAGAATTTTCGATGAAATATGCGATTTCCGTTAGAATTTTTGTTTTCGCTCATATTTAATCAACCATTGGAAAATATGTCATTGAAATTTATTAGAAAATTTCAACAAAATATAATTACATTAAAATTTTCCGTTGAAATTGCCTTTGCAATTCCATTAGGATATATTTCTGCTGGAATCTATCATTATATTAAAAGATTAACCATTTAACACTTTTAGCAAGTTTTTCCCGCCAAATACATTTAATGTCTCCTAAAATAGAGCATCATTAAATGTTACCCTTAAATCATGGCAATTGTTAATTTAATTTGGAGAAAATCGTGGCAACTAAAACAAACAACATTAATTACGGCTGATTTAATATTTAAATGGTAAACAAATATTACTTTTTTATGACTGATTTAGATTTACGTCTGTTTAAAAGTAAAAAACTACTTTTGTAATTTCAACTAATTTGTACTCTTTAATGTACGACTGATTTAAAATTAAGAATTTATTTTTGTATTTTCACAAAAAATCGTATAAAGAAGTATGACTGGAATAATAATAAAAAATTAATTTATTAAACCATATTTTGCACTCATAGATACGAATTCTCATCAAATTCAAGATTTAAAATTGTGAAGAATGTATATAGATGTGGACTGATTGAAGATATATGATTCCTTAAATTAAGGAATTTTTTCCGGTAAAAAAAAAATATAAACTTTAAATATAGATTTTATTAGTAGTGTATACCAAAGAATATTGTTACATTTAAAATTCCTATGAAGAAGAATTCTATTAATTTTCAAATTCAACATCTCATAAAAATAATATAATACATTTTTACATTCTATGAAACAATATTTAAAGCCCATCGTTCAACATGCATAAAATGTAAATTACCTAACATGAATCATTTTAACTTTCTAAAATCAGTACACAATTTGCTCGGTATGTACTAATAGTCTAATAGTTAAGAATTAATATTTGCTATGACATCTATTGGTTGGAAAGAATTCCATTTTGTATGGAATTTGAAATGAAAAAATATATTCTGAAAATCAAATCTGGTTTAGAGATCGATTTCTTAATGACCTTAAATTATGCAAATATATTGTTTCAGTTTTTAGGATTCTTTTTTATGATCTCAGTCTTTGCATTATATGAAATCTATACTTATATAAAAAGTCATCCTATTTACTAAAAATAGTAGGCAGAAAAGTCAAAGGTAATTAATGCTTGCTGGAAATAGAATGATATTAATTACAGATTTGTTTTGGTATTTATAGGCTTGACATTAAAGATTTGTTATGGGATAAAAATTAGAACTGATTTTTTTACCTTTGCTGGAAAAGTCAAAGATAAGTATAGATTTGTTTTATCCCATAGCATCGGTCTAGTTAAGAAAATCCCATCAAATCAGTTTTATATGTCAAGCCTATGAATAAAGATTTAATCGGTCAAAATTAAATCCTTATTTTACGTCACCCATAAATAAAGTAGATGTCAAGCCTAAATTGAAGGGTTTAGTTGTCTATATAGTCATTGATTTACGTAAATACATCTAATGTTTAAAGTTTGTGTAGTTTGAAAATTCCTTATTATCTTTTTACAAAATATCTTATTATTATTGTATGAAAAATCAAACTCATAATGTTTTGTACAAGGTGGTCTTTAATAATATATGATTGTTTGTTTGTCGAATACCATCCTATTGTATAATTTTTCTGCTTATTATAAAACTTTTATTGAATATTGAATCTTATAATATAGTATTCCTCAAATAAATATATCCCGTGCTTTGCACGGGTCACGTACTATATATATCCCGTACATTTTTCTGTATTCATGTATATAATTATAAGTAAATAGCCTTAAAATTGTACATCTCGTGCATCGCACGGGTCACGTACTATATATATCCCGTACATTTTTCTGTATTCATGTATATAATTATAAGTCTAAATAAATAGCCTTAAAATTGTACATCTCGTGCATCGCACGGGCTTTGTACTAGTTTTTTTTGTTTAAATTGCAGTCATTTTCTTATAGGGCGGAACCAAATAAGGTAAGCTGTGAAATTGAAAATGAGATGCTCTTTCGATCAAGACACGCACTATTTGTTTCTATTGTTTCTGTAGGGGGTAGTTTAGTAATTACAAATATTCTTACAGGTAGCTTGGGCTGAACTTCTCAAAAAACTGAATGGACAAATAGCCGTAAGGCCTGCGATTTAAGCCCTGTCGGCCCACTTCCGTTATAGCCCATAGTTTTTATAGACGACGCGTCTTGGAGATCAGACTACCATCGCCGCCGCAAAACACCACAGTCCCACACCATGCCCACCGTTAGCGTAGGCAGAGACCGCCTCTTCGAAGCCCTCGGCCGCACTTACAGTGAGATATACTATCTCAGGTCTCTCGGTACAAAGTCGTGATTTCGCTCATAAGTTTGATTTTTATCATGTGTTTTGATGGATTGCAGCTGAAGAGGAATTTGAAGATTTGTGCTTCAAATTCGGCATTGAGCTTGATGATGTGGTACGTGTGATTTGCGTGGTTGTATCCAGGGGTTTGTGTTCTGGGAAAAAAAATTAGTCTTTATTAATAACTGAGCTGCATTTTTGTGTATATCCTGAATTGTTTCATGGATATTGAATTTTATGTTCTACGTGTTGCTGGGCGAAGTGCGTGGTTTTGCTTTTGATATTATCGACATTAATTGATTAAATGTTTGGTTCGGATTGTTTGAGTTTGAGAAATTGTCTGAAAACATTGCTTAGACAAGAGTAATTTACATTCTGAAGCTGTACATGTTGTCGGTTATAATTTGTTGTTTCTTAGACATAACCTTTGCCATGGCTGATATTACTTGGAATTGGTATTGAGAATATTTTGGTTTGAATATGTGGAATCAGACGACCGAGAAGGCAATTTTACGGAAAGAGAAACATTTGGAAGAAGAAAAACCATCCGAGGATGAGGAAGTAATTTACAAGATTGAAGTTCCAGCTAATAGGTATTGTAAGAGTGTATCACTTCACTAGGTCACTTACAAAAGCCATGTCTGCGATTAATTTATTTGTAAAAATGGAATATGTTGCTAGCATTTCATAGAATGTGCTTTTATAAATTTGGAGATTTTAATGTATTTCTGGAAATTGGCTGAACGAAAATATCTTTTCTGGATTTTGATATCATGGCAGATATGATTTGCTTTGTCTTGAGGGCTTGGCTCAAGCTCTCCGCATATTTAATGGGCTTGACCCAATACCAACATATACTTTGGCGTCCATTAGCAAAGGATCTATGCTCAAAATGCATGTCAAATCAGAGGTACTTATCTGAAGGAATTTTTTTTTGGTCTCATTTGCATCATATAATTCCATTTACCTGTCCTTTATGTGATGTTCTTTTACAGTGTTCTTCTTAAGGAACATTTTTTTCTCTCAATTCTATGATTCTGATTTCATCATTTATCTGATGTTCTCATGCAGACCTCAAGGATTCGGCCATTTGTTGTATGTGCTGCTTTAAGAGGTGTTACATTTGACAAAGCTCGATACGATAGCTTTATTGATCTCCAAGATCGGCTTCATCAGAATATCTGCAGGTACAGCTTACAGATCGCTGATCAACCTGCAAGACTACATTTTTCTAAGAGTTTCGTGTAGGGAGTGCCTTTATATATCTTTTATATATCTGTTGGTAGATAGTGGAGAAACATAACTGTTTCTTTTCCGTGCATGGAGCGATCACTCTAGCTTCATGGTATCATTGATGTGATTTTAAATTTTCATCTAGCCACTTGTAAACTGAAAGTACTCATACTAACATTTTGGTTGTGGAACCATGAATATTCATGGTCCTCAGTGGACTTTGTTTTTTTCTTTTTGTTTTTGAGGTACATTATCTGCTATTATTTTGATCTAAAGAGACTCTTACCAACCTGAGAAAATGTGTATTGTTGTAGTGATTTAAGGATTGTTGTAGTTTGAAGTTTTGCGTGCTTGTCTTGTTAAAGTTATCGTCATGGCTAAGTGATACTCTAGATACTATATCAGAAACTTCTTCTGCTTAAAACATGTTATTTCTGTATTTTTCTGACTTTGAGTTATTGATCTTTGCCTTTTAAATTTTGTTCTTGTACTTCTGCAGGAAAAGAACTCTTGTTGCTATTGGCACGCATGATTTGGATACAATAGAAGGTCCATTCACATATGAGGTATGCTGACTCGCTTGTCAATTTGTGAATTCGTCTGGGTTTTGTCAATTGTTTATGGAAAAAGCTATTTGTACAACTTTTTTGTACAACATTCAATGACAACATGATGTGGCATGATGTGGGTGGTTGAGATGCAAGTAAATGTATGGTTGAGGTTTGAGATAATGATATTTTTAACTCAGTTGTCAACCAATGTTGTAAACTACAATTGTACATGTAGCATTGTCCATTGTTTATTATTCAAGTTAAGGTATTTTGCTTAGGATCTTGCTGATATTTCTGCTAGATTGATGAGGAACTTGTGAGGAGTATCAATGTAGAATCTGTCCTTTTTGTTTTTATA